CATGGTCTTCCCTGCTGGCAGGTGACCCTCTCTGCAGTGGGAGCTGGGGCTTCTAAGAAGAGGGTGCTGGTTTCTCCCCTGGTCTCCAGGCCATTCTCCCACAGGAACTGAGGATATCCTCCCACTGTGCCCCCCACCCCATCGGCCAAGTCTGGGCAATGGGAGGTGAGTGGACCTCAGCCTTCTCTGGAAGAAGCACCCAGCCTAGGGGGTGAGGGAGGGTCCCCTCTGCCCCTTCCTGTAGCTCTCAGGTCCCATGAGCCACAGACCAAGTGCTTCTCAGCATATCCAGCACCTTCCAGGCCTCCTGGGGGCTCCAGACCAGGATCTGAGCCATGGGGCCCATCCTACCTGCTCTTCTCGCAGCGGGAGCGTCTTCTGCTCCAGCTTGATCTCCCAGTGCCCAGGCCCGTCCCCAAGTGGCTGCCATGTTCCCAAAGTGTGGCCCCCACCCCCTACCGGCCACCAAAATCCCAGCTGCCCTCAGTCCTAGCCGAGCCTCCAGGATACCCGCACCTCACACTGAGCCTCTCCTGTGGCGGCCTCCGGCCCCAGGGACTCAGCGCAGCCCACTACGGTAAGGGTAAGGGGCTGTTCTGCCGTGGGCCCCGCATGTCTGCCAGTCCCCAGCATCCGCGGCCCGGGCCTGGAGCCCCGCAGCTCAGAATGGGCCGGAAGGGGGCCGGGGGTGACGTGGGCTCCGCCAGCCTCGGACCCCTCTGAGTCTCCATCTGGAAGGGGGCAGGGGCAGGGACGTTCGTGGGCCTGCGTGGGGTGGAGCCTGTGCCAGGCGCTGGGGGGCAGAGAAGCCATTAGCAGCTCCCTTCCACCCCGGCGGCGCGCGCCACAGGGCCGAGGCCACCCGGCCAGAGGCGGGAAGAAAGCCACCAGCGCGAGGCCACCAGGTCTCCTCGGCCATGCGAGGGGCTTGTTCCCTGCCCTGATTTCCCAGATCCAGGGCCCTGGGGCAGCCTGCACTGAGCTCTTGGCGGACAAATGTCGCATGGGCCGTCTGGGATATGCTGAGAAGATGGCAGAGATGCAGAGGCCTGGAGCGGCTCCGGACCTAGCCGAGCCCTGCAGGCCCGAGTGGGAAGGAGGCGACACCGGTTAGTCCTGTCACTCACTGCAAACCTCTTCTTAAAGAAGCATGGAACCCACCCCCACCACCTAATGAAATCAGAGGCCTAGAGTAGAGCTGCTGTGGAGGACTGTTTTTTTGGGGGGAAGGTGAGGGGATGACTAAGGACCCCTGAAAGTGATCCCACAGGGGTTCTGGATGTAGGAGGCAGATCCTGGTCAGAAAATGGAATGCAAAATTTGGAATCCAAATGTCCCCCACACAGCAGGGTATGGGGTGGGTAGGAAGAACAACAGATACTATGCAGGAGAGGGGGAGCCATCCTGCTCTCCTGGAAAGGAATTCAGGAAGCTCCCCATGACAGAGAAGGACCTGGTTGAACAGTGAGGAGGAGTCTGGCAGAGCATTGTCCCTTCCATACTGTGCTCAGCTTAAGTGCCACCTCCCTCTTGTTGGCCTCCCTGGTCTCCTTCGTCAGGGTTGGATCCCCTGCTCTGTGACTTCAGTCTAATCCTTGCCACGTTATAGTTTCCACTTGGAGCTGTGGGTGTAGACAGCAAGTTTTCTGGGTGCAGCTCAGTGGTCAGCCAGTCACAGTAGCTCGTTCACTGTACCTGGTTGAGCGTGTGAGGACAGTGACTGGTAAGGGAGGAGGTGACGTGTGCCTGCAGATAGCATGATTTATATATTTTGACCACCAACAAATGTCCAGGTGCCACCTCCTGGGGAGGGGGGCACTGTGGTGAAGGAGAAATTCCCTGGGTGGGGGACACAACTGGGCCAATAAGTTTAGAGGTGGAAGTTAGAATTGGGCTGCTCTACAATTGCCCAGCAGAGGGCATAATCCCCAAATAAAGATTTGCAGGTTGATGTTTGTGGTTCTGTCTAGATCAACCAAATTGCGGTAGTGTTGGTCCACCAAATACTGGGGTCTCCTTCCCATTTGACTAATGCCCTGGCTGTTTTAGGGGAGCAAAGGTAAGAAAGCCACAGGCTAGACTGCCTGGAGTTTGCTGGAAGAAGAGGAAGAAGGAAAAATGCCAGGGGTGAATTCAACTGTGATATGTTGTAAGAACTTTTGTAAATGTCACGAGTTACTCCTAGTACAACAATAATAAAAAACAAATAAAAAGTAGGAAAGAAAAAAGAATATGACACTGAAAAAAGAAATTTTTTTCTTCAATGTGAAAAGAAAGAAAAGAAAAATGCCATGAGGACTTGAGAGACCTCTAACTCATGACACAATGTCTGGTTTTGCTAGGTTTTTTTTTTTTGTGATATCATGAAACCTACCACTGCAACTGCTATAAATTGTACAGTTCAGTGACATTAGGTGTATTCACAGTGGTGAGCAGCCATCATCACTATCTAGTTTCAGAACTTTTCATCACTCCAAAAGCAACCTCATGCCCATTAAGCAAGCCATCACTCCCTAATCACCTGTTATCGGCTTCTGCCCAAGATCAGCCTTCAGGAGCAAAGGGAATTCACCTGGCAATGAGAATTTGAGTGCTACTCATCTTTGCCTAAACACTGGAAGGCTCTTGCAGGGCTGTGGGAACCCAATCTAAAAGTTTACCCCTGAAAAATTTCTCATTCTGTCTTGACTCCTTCCATGAACTTACCTGGGTTATCTCCATCCTTCACCCACAGATTCAAATATGAATAGAAACGGCTCAGCAGGAGCTCAGCACAGGTGTGGCTATGTCCTCTGATTAACTAGCTACTCAGGGCACAGACACCTGGCTGCCATTGTGGCTCACTCTTCATTATCTGTTAGGCTCTGAGCAGTACCTGGGTATGGAAGGGAGAGTTCAGAGCTGGGGGAGGCCTGGTTGGGTCTTCACTACCCTGACTTCCCACTTCTAGGGTTTGGACTTCAGCCTTTAGAGGTGAGTTTCCTGCCACGGGAGTTACTGTTTGTCTTGCTGACCCGAGCCCCCAGTACCAGCACTCTGTGTAGAACATTTGGAATAGTAAGGGGAGGGGGTCTCTGAATTCCCACTTCTGAGAGAGAGAAGAGAGGCAAAATTAGTGATGTAGACTTTTCCTTCTACTCTCTCTAGAAAACCTTGTGTTATTCTTAGGGTGAAATTCTGGTACCTGGTGAATTTCTGGTGAAATTTGATGGTACCTGGATTTGGACTCAGGGCCTCATGGTTTGCCAGGCAGGCACTCTGCCTCTTGAGCTACTTCACCAACCTGAAATTTCCTATGTCAATGCATGTGTCCTTGTTATTTATTTCTATTTTTATTATTGTTGTAATTAGGGATACATCGTGACATTTACCGAAGTTCTTACAATATATCCTAGTTGAATTCACCACCTGCATCATTCTCCTTTATCCCCTTCTCCATTCCTGGAATAGTTTCAGCAGGTCTCAGTTTTCCATTATCGTGTGTGAGTTATGTAATATTCCACCACATTCACCCTCCTACACCCTTTCCTTGTACCCGCCTATTTCTCACTAGTACCAACATCCAGACAGGACCTATTTTACCTTCCTGTTCTCTGTTTTTGAAAAAAGATTTTTGTTTGTATAAGATAGCTGAAACAAGGAGTTTCATTGTGACATTTTCACATATATATGTATTATAACCCAAATTGGTTCATCCCCTCTATTTTTCTCCTTTTTACCTTAGTCCCCTTCTTATGGTGTCCATGTTATTTTTTAACAGCTGAGTACTATTCCACTATGTGGACTTGTTTCACCAGTTCCTTGCTATGACTGTTTGGGTATTGTCCAAATGATGAGGTAATGTTCCAACTAGTACACATTATTTTGCATATATCAAATTGTACCTATACTTGGAAGTGTTAGGTTAAAGGGTAACTGCATTGGTAGTTATGATGGACAGTGCCTTATTCTAAGGAGATAAGAAAGGGAAAGCTTTGAGCTTCTCTGTTTTCTGGCTGTTTGGTCTTGGATCTAATGCTCACCTGTTCTGAGCTCCAGTTTTTCATTCTATACAATGCGGCCCATACTGGCTAGGGGTTTAGCTCACAGGTAAAACACTTGCCTAGCATGTGCAAGGGCCTGGGTTTGAGTCCTAGCACCACAAAATAAAACAAAAAAATCCATGAAGTGTGCCACATGCAATTGTGAGAATGAAATAAGATCAGCTTTGTAAAACATTAGGTTTAGGCAGCCTGGGCTCTCCCTGGTGCCTGCTGGAATCTTTGGTGAGAGCCAAAGATTGAGCTTGGCTATCAGGCTCTTGACTGGAAGATGCCTTTTCCATGCCCACCTGTTGTGTCCTGAGGCTCCTCTATGCTCTGTTGATAGAACCCTGGGTGTCCCCAGGGGCTTTCTAGGGCTAGCTGTTGGGCACACTGTAATGAAATCTTCCTAAAGGAAAGCACTTGGTCTGCTTAAATCCTCAGAGCTCTGGTCTCTGTCACAGTCCACAAATAAGTGGACTGTCTTTCATTTGTTGAGTATCTGCCAGTAGCCTTGTATAATTCTACAGATGTGATTCTATTCAGATCTCAGAATTTTCCAAGAGGGTGGGAGGTCATCACCACCAGGCCAACCTCTTCATCATTACACACCCTTGTCCTTCCAAACAGAATATCCTGTATTTGTGCTCATGCCCATGGGTTCTTCCATGTGACCCCCTGTAGCAGGTGAGACACCCAGTGTGTGTGGGTTTTCTATGGCCTTAGGGTTTAGGTATATTGGGAATGACTCCTTGTATGGAATGTGTACATCCACATTAAATGGTGAGTTTGGTTTTTATATGACCATACATGGAGTCCATGTGTGTAAAAGTTGGCAACCAATCTTTTGAGGCCTCACACCAAAGGAGGCCTTCTTAGACCCTTCTGAATAACCCCCATATAGCACATCTGCTTTTCTGCCTCTGCTCTCTTGCATGCTACAAGGGTTCAGGGCAAATTGGGAGCCCAGGATCTGTTTGGTGGGTCTCTTTTTCTGGCCCTAGGGCCAGGTAGCTTCCGGCACTTCATTGATCCAAGAATATGAGTGGGGAGAAGAAAGAGGACTCATTCATGATACTCAAGATTTATGATAAACTGGAGGAGAGAAGGAATATGCCAGAAAGCTCTGGTATTTCTGCTCAGCATGAACAAATACAGCACCAACTGGACAGTGAGGAAATGCCCCAGCTGTTCCCACGTCCCCCAACACAGCATGGCCCCATTTATGAGGAAATGAGCAATATGAGCCAGCAGCAGTATGACCTCAAGACCCAGGACATGTCTGGACTCCAGGCCATGTGCTCCTCAGTGGCAGAACTACAGGACGCAGCTTGCCCAAGGTAGTGAGACCGGGTGAGGCGGCCAACTGAGGAGAAGGGCTCCTAGCATGAAGCTCTGCACTTCATGTCCTCTTTCCTACCTCTCCCCTTTCTGTTTGTCATAGCTTCCTACCAGGAGCCACACTTGGTAAGTGCTGGATGTGATGTGGGCAAGGAGGGCTGGTGGCTTAAGCTGGGTGCCAGGTGGTGTCAAGAGAGCCACCTTCTGCTGAAGGAGCCGCTCTGTTGCTGACACCCTGTCCATGACTGGTGGCTGTTGCTGTTTCTCTGTAGGCCAGCACAGTGCTTCTTCCTGCCCCAGCAAAGAAGTCTTGTCATTCCTCAGAACCATTGTAAGTGTCTCATGTTTTCAACACTCAGGCATCCCCCTTATCTAGTTATCCCCTAATTAAGAGGCAGGGTGTCCATGCATACCTGATTTCTTCATCATTAGATGGTGGTGTCCTGGGGTACCACCTTCTACTGAGTGGGGCTACCCTTCTTGTCCCACCATCCTGTTCAATAGGGCCTTTGACTGCCAGGGTCACTTATTCAAGAGATAGCTTTGGGGAACTTGAGCCAGGCTCTGCTGTGGGGTGGATGGTGATGAGAAATTTGACCGCAGGACAGGGGCAGGCTGTCCTCATGGATGCCTCACCCTCTGCCCTGGCCTTTCTCTAGCCTCCCGTTCCAGATGAAGTGGTGGTCAGGCGGAAGACCCCACGTGACTTCTGGAAGGTCGGCACACTCCAACATTGTAAAAGAGTCAGTGCTATTGCCATCAGCCGTGCACCCCATCATGTGTACACCTGCGGCTCTGGCTACATCAGGGTGTGGGATGAGAGTGCTCTGCATGCCTCAGATGGGGTCCCTCAGGCCCAGCTGAACTTTCAGGTGAGGGGCTTTCAAGCATGGTTGGGGGAAGCCAGACGGGGCTCTGTCATCAGTACCACAAGGTGATACAAGAGTGTGCACTGTGTCTACAGGACCCTCACAACCGTGTCCTCACCTGCAAGCTCTTCCCCGACGAGCAGAGTATGATCACAGGGGGTGTTGCTCAGACCCTGACTCTCTGGGACCTGGTGCCCATACCCCAAGTCAGGGCACAGCTGCCCTGTACAGGCTCCACCTGCTACTCCCTGGCCCTCTCCTCCGATGCCCATATCTGCTTGGCCTGTTTCAAAGGATTTGTGGAGATTTGGGATGTGCAGAACCAAATCTTGATCAGGTATGGCCTCCCTCCAGAGTGGCTCAGGTGCACCTGGGAGGGCTGCACTGTAAGATGCCATCTTCCCCTTCTGGTTATGTGGGGTATCCTGGAGGGTATATTTGGGGCTTCCCTGAAACTTCCAGGGAGTCCAAACCTGTTTGTGGACCTTTGAGTTGTTTTCCCACTAGGAAACACGAAGTCCCCATCTATGGGTCCCGCTGTATTGACATCGCGGGTCATAAGTTCTGGACAGGTGGTGAAGACACCATCCTGTATTCCTGGGACCTGAGGAGCTACCAGAGGCTGCAGCAATACAATTTACAGAATGAGGTGCTCGTCAGCCACCATCAGGGCCTCCCTTGAGCACTTCCAGTGGGGTTTGGGTGTGGACATGGGCAGGGGCTGACATTGAAGATTTGGGTGTGGGGATGGGTGGCATTGAGAACTCTAAATGCTGACCCCAAACCATTTTTCAAACAGATCGTCAACATTACTCATGACCCCAGTGAGGAATGGGTGGTGGTGGGCTTGAAAATGAGTGACATTGTAATCCTACATGCTCTTCGGGAGGAGAAATTCAAAGCTATTACACAAAGATACGCCCAGCACCAGAGCCTCAAGTTCGCCTCCTGTGGTGAGTAAGAAGCCTAGAGACACCTACGGGCATCCTCTTTGAACTTGGCTTTCTCATCTTCTGTCCCTACTCACTCCCTTTCCTGTTCCAGCTCCGCCTGTACAGAATGACAGACAGCCTGAAGACACAAGGGGACAGAAGCAGCACAAAGCCCCATTACTGGTCCTGTGTGTAGTTGGAGGGTTGCGGCAGATAAGAGAATGGCTTGGGTCATGCCTCTGGTTTTCATAGGCAGGGAAACTGAGTCAGAGAAAGACTTGCCCTATCCCTAGTCGAGTTGAGAACAGTGCTGGGATTAGAATGCAGGCTCAGTCTCTGGCCTCTATCTGTTCTTTCCTTTGCAGGGACCTATTTTGTGGCCACACAGGACGAGTTAGTCCATTGCATAGCGGCTCCTTATCTACAAAAGTTGTTTCAGGTATGGGAAGGGGGGATGGTCAGACTGAGGCACTCAGAGCTTGTTGGATCCCAGAGGATCCAAGCTGAAATGTACCTCTGAGAAGACATTTTATAGAGTGTGTGTATGGTGGGGGGGACGGAGGACTTACACCATGAATTCATGGGCTTCACCTTGAGCCCTGAGACCTAGGCCTGTTTTCAGACAATGCCTTGGGTTTGTGCAAACCTTCAAACAGTCCTGAATGAAGCCCTATGACTAGCTCAATCCTATATGCCATCCCTTCTTTGACCCCTCTTTCTCTTAGGTAGAGGAATCTTCAGATGTCCTGAGCTGTGATGTGTCCTCCGATAACAAGTATCTGGTCACAGGCTCCAAGAAGAGCGCCACGGTTTACCAGCTCTTGTATTGAAGGTCGTAGACTGTGGTCCTACTAGTGAAGACTCAAAGAAGGCTAATGTGACCTCAGGATTCTGAGCAACTTCAACACTTGCCACCCTGTGCCTCAGCCTCGGTGGCTGGTCATCTGTTCCCCTCCATGCCTCCAACCTACTCTTCCAGGTTTTTTATTATATGGCTTGGGGCTTTTCCTTTGTTATTTTTCCATCACTGATTTCTGGGTTTAGACAGAGTACTTTATGAGATATGGCCTTTGCAATTAATAAAAGAGCAAAAAGAAACCAAATAACAAAACCATTGTACTGGATCAGTGTGTCTCTGCTTAGCAAATGGAGATGTATTCTTCCCCATTCCTTCCAGGGTGGGGAATGAAGTTTAGACCAGACTTAGTTTTCCTTGAAACCTTTTTAGGGGAGCAGGGAAGTCTTACATCTTAAGAAAACTCAAGAAAAAGTATCCATACAGCCAGCCCTTTGTACCCATGGGTTCCATACCCATGGATCCAGCCAACCATGGATTGAAGATATTTGGAAAATAATTCCTTTTGTATTGACCATGTATAGACATTCTTCCTTATTTCCTAAACAATACAGTATAACAAGTATTACATAGTGCATATCATAAGGAATCTAGAGATGATTTGAAGTGTGAGATGATGTATGTAGGTTATATGCAAACACATCACCATTTTATATAAGGGATCTTGGTATCCATGGGAGGTTCTGGAATCCATCCCCTGCAGACAGAAAGAGACAATGGTACATGTACACATTTTCAGCCTGTGTCAGGGAGAAGACAGGGCAACAGAGCTCAACTCTGGGCTTCAGATTAAACCCCAGTAGTTGACCTAACCATGTGTGGAAGCTGGGCTCCCTGTACATGCCTGACTTGGGTGACGGAATGGCTCCCTGCTTCCTGTCACCTGATTTTATCTGGCTCTGTTCAAGTCCTGATCTTGATTCTGGCATTTGGTGCCCATCAAACCTGCTTGTGTCAGTATTTCAGGATGGCTTCTTCATTTTTGAGGATGTGACAATGCCACATTTTGTCTGGCCATGTACGCCTGCGTTCTTGTCTTTTCCATCTGCCTCCTCTTCTTTGCTTGGTGTTGACCTGGCAGAAACAGCTGTCCACTAAAGTTTATGGTTTAGAATTGTCAATTGGAGGAATCTGCAGAGCCAGGAACCAAGTGTCCTATCCTCTGCAGCTTCCAGACATTATCGGGTATCCAGTTCTAGCCACAAGTGGGTAATGTGTGCCATTTCTGGACCAGGCATGTAGAAGTACTTAAAATGTTTAAGATGGAAAATTTTATGTTACATGTATTTTAGACAATTTAAAAAAGGAAAGAAAAATCTTTGGGAATTATAAAGATCAAATTTAGAATAGTTCTAATTTCTCTGGAAGCAGGGAGAAAGAATCAGGCCATAAAGGTAAAGAAAGAGGGCTTCCACTGAATAGGCAACATTTATTTCTTCAAAAATAAATCAAGGTTCATCAAAATTAAAGGTGTGTGCTTTGAAGGACACCACGGGAAAGTGAAAAGGTAACTCACAGGATGGGAGAAGCCATTTGCAAATCATTTTCTGCCAAGGGACTTGTACCCACAATAGCTACAGGACTCTTACAATTCAGTGACAGCAAGGCGACCAGATTTATAAAGGGTGAAGGATTTGAATGAATGAACATTTTTCAAAGAAGATATACAAATGCCAATAAGCACATGAAAAGACAAGATACTCCTCTAATCTTCTCACTTTGTCATTGAGAAATGCAAATCAAACCCACAGGGAGATGCCACTTCATGCCTGCTAGGATGGCTAGGATAAACAAGACAGTGACAGTGTTGGTGAGAACGTGGAGAAACTGGACCCTCCGACATTGCTGGTGGGATTGTAAAATGGTGTGGCCACTTCGGAAAACTGTTTGGCAGTCTTCAAAAATCTGTGTGACCCAGCAATTCCACTGCTAGGTCGACATATGTCAAAGATAATTGAAACTGAAAACAAAACACTTAAGTTGGGAGGACAATGATTGGGAGTGACAGAGTCAAAGAATTCTAAACTCCTTTCTGTAAATAAAGTAAAAGTCCCAATTAATAGTGGTATTGATAAGAAACTTATAATATCTAAATTAAAGAGCAGTAAACAAGTGTATAGCTTCCAACTAATAAGGAGAAAATATATGTAATATAATAAAGCAATCCAAAAGAAAATCAACATGAGAACGAAAAAGAAAAGCTTATTAAAATGGTGGATTTAATTATATTAAATGTAAATGAATTAGATATTCCTATTAATTTGTAGAGATCATGTGACTAGATTAAAAACTCAACTATGTTTAAAAGAGGCAGTGAAACATAACTATAGGAAATACGGCAATAAAGAATAAAAAGATACCCATTTGCATACTAAATCAAGGAAAGTTGGTGTTATGTTAGATAACACATACTACAAAACAAAAAAGTATTTCAGATAAAGGTGAGCACTCTAAATAAGTGTAGAGTGCTTGCTTAGTATGCCCAAGGTTCTGGCCTTGATCCCCAGCACTGAAAAAATTTGTTTTTATGAAAAATAGACAAATTTACCCCTCACAGTAACAGAGAGCTAACAAAACTCATAAGGCTATGATCTGAATAACTTGATTTGAAAACTTAGAACAATGTGCACAAATTACAAATACACGCCCCACCCAACAGGGCATTTACAAAGCCACCAGATGACAACTGTGAGTTGGTCTCGAGGGGGGCGGCTCAAGCAGTAAGAGTAACTTCCTAGCAAGTATGGTGTCCTGAGTTCAAACCCCAGTGCCACCAAAAAATAAAAAATAAAGGATATAAATGAAACTTCATATTCCTATAGTAAATTTAAAATAAAACTACAATAAATACAATGAAATGTATCTTTAAAAGAATTATGAATTTCATAGGATTTCATTCTTACAGAATATATTCTTTGAACCTAGTGCATTTAAGAGAAATAAAAAGAAAAGTAGAAATTTCCCTATTTTGGAATTAGGAACTGTATTTATAAATCACAGAGAATAAGTTACAAAACAGAAGGTGATGTAAACTGAATAATCAAAACCGAAAGCCCTCAGGCACAGAGGGCTGGAGCTCGGTCACTCCCTGGTCACCCCGAGGCCCCGGACTGCGTGGTCTTCCTGCTCTTCAAAGCTGGTTCTGGAATAGGGCGAGGGTGGGCAGTCCCAAAACAGCAGGAAAAGGACGTGGAGCCCCAGGGATGCTCTGAGCAGAGCAAATTGGGGGAAAAGAGGTAGGAGGTGGTCCAGGAGGCAGATTTTCAAAGAAATTGTCATGAGCAAAGCTGAGTCCCCACTGCTCCAACAGTCTCCCCCAACCATGTGTGGAACTCTTGGAAGAGGGAACAAAGGCTATTCCTTGTTGCTGACACTCGCGTTTCTTTTGTGATGAGCGAGTTTGAACCATCTGTGAACAAAAGAACCGTGCCCTCTCTGAGGCTTGAACTCAGGACCTTCAGATTATGAGACTGACGCGCTGCCCACTGCGCTAAGAGGGCGCGGGGAGAAAGCGGCGCTCACTTCGTTGTCAAGGGAACCGCGCGCCTCACCGCCGCAGCCTCCGCCCGCCGAGCCGGCTCGGGGCCTCTCTTTCCGCACCGTCCCTCGTCCTGGCCGCCGGAAGGTCGCGGTCTCCCCGCGGGCGGTGGGGACACGTGGGGAAGGAGAGTCGCTGTGGGGTAAATGCGCTCCGTAGGGAGCGCAGCCCCTTGGGGACCTGTCCCCACGCCTCACGGGTCACACGGGACGAGGAGGAGCAGGGGAGGCGCCGAGGCCCCGAGAGGCCACCCGGCTTAGGCGGAGGGAGGAGGGATGCTCATTGGGGTCTTCAGTCCTGGCCGCGAAGGTCCTGTGAGCTGGTGGGAGGTGAGGGCAGACAACTGGTGGGTGACCGAGGGGACACTGCCCGCCGCCGATGGGCATCTCCGGCGAGCCTTGAACAAGGGTGGGGCGCCCTGGGCAGCTGCAAGTCGGGCAGGAGAAGGGCAGGGCGCGGAAGAATTTGCTGTTCAAAACCTCCAAGTTCAGGCCCTGGGGTGAGGGGGTGAGAGGCGAGAGAGGACAAACTTCTAGAGGGGTCTTGGATGTGAATCCAGTCGGCGGATGGAGGGAAGAAATGATTACCTTGGACTTGTCTGCTGATTCATTTATTTAACCCCAGGTTTTTGTTTCTCATCTTTTTCGAGTTAAGTTTTCTTCCTTACCACACACCGGGACATCTTATTTTGAAGGACTGGAGAGTAGCCCTTTAAAGCCCTCTGAGAAGGATTTAAAATTTTGTCTTTGTAAAAGGCAATAGGAAAAAAAAAAAAAAAGAATGCAGGGATGGGCGGGTGGATGGATGGACAGACACAACATACAGCCATTTCCAAGAGGGCATTCCTCCTTCTTGCATCAGGGACGATATTGCTGCTGATGTCTAAAGGGATGGCTTCTTCACCCATCCGATTTGGCCCTAGTCACTATGGGATAAGATCACGGTGTACCTTGGACTTGCCTGCTTTTTCACCCCCTAAGCCCTTGTGGAATTTGGTTTTGCCAGAACAATAATAT